CATCGAAACAATGGGACCTCGGAAACTACCCTGCTCTCCATCGTTCTTTCACAGGGCTTAGGGTCGAGCCCCCGTGTGGAGGCACCCTTTGTCGGCTCTCTGCTCGGCTTCGGTCGGGTTAAGGTTTGCTCGTGTGGGACATCTGAACCACAAGAAAAGGCTCGACCACTTGTATATTGAAAGTAAGCGCCCCGCACTGAGGAACAAGTAACTGATATGCAAGTCCCGAGTGAAGCAAGATGAAGCTACCCAAAAAATGAAGTTCGAAATGCCGAGCCATGGTTTCAGACCTGCCCCCCGACTCTCTTCTTCTTCTTCTGCACTGCCAAAGGGGAGCAAAGCACACTCCAGTACGAAGGCAAACTAGAAGGCGTACTATCAAGGGTACGTACTATAAGGAATACTATAGTCAAAACCGTGCTCGCACACAGCATTTTGGGAGTGACAGTGCGAGGCCTTGACTTCCACTGAAGCTCTGCGGCCCCTAAACCACCAAACCCCCAAAACCTATTGCAAGGACCTGCCTTGAAGATGTCCAATGAAGTGCCACTGGACGTCTGCAGGGAGTTGCGGGCTCTTGTCCACGAGCTCCTAAAGAATTCGCGCAACCCTGTTGTGAACTCTCTAGAGTTCTGTGTAAACATCGACGGCCCTATAGATGCTGGCTGTCTCTACTCAGCAGTCCAAGGTGTCAGGCTTCCAAACCCTCGGCTAGGTACCTGTGGGATCGGTCCTGCACGTAGTTCTCCCCGAAATGTCCTGTGCTAAGATGAGCTTGGGCTGTTGGGGTCTCGGGTTTGGCACATTAGCATGTACACATCTTATTACATTTTGTCAGCATGACAGCAAAATGACTACAGTCTACACACATATAGAGAAACAGAGCAAGCAGAACAAACAAAACCTGCAATGTTTGCTCGAACGGCCCAGCTAGCGGCTTTGAAAAGCTCTGATTGCGTTCTGCCGGGCCGGAGTTACACCCTTACAGCTTTACCCTAGGAGCAACGCCCTATACCCTGACCCACAAAGTCTAAGCACGTTTTTGCATCCAGGCCTCTTGCAGTCTAAGCCGCTAACCCTGAAACCTGAACTATCAGCCAAGGCTCTGTGCCCTGCATCGTAGGCCTCCTTCAGGTCCTCTGCACACTTTCGGGCGACGGTCCCAAAGCAGCATTTTCTCAAAGTCGGGGTCCCTGGTTTAAGGACCCTCCGTCATAAGAGCCGATGTAAACGCAGAACCATAGAGCGCCGTCCTCCACAGGCTTCGTCTTGCTCACCGCAACGAGCCTCACGGGAGCCTGTGCCGCATGGATCCAATGCGCATCCACGCACGGACAAAGACACACGAGCATGCATACACATAGATAGATGGGCATTCAGATAGGTAGATATGCATATGTCTGCCTATCTATGTATCTATCAATGCTCGGCATGTTGGACCGGATGTAGCTGCGGGTGTTTGTCGGTTCCACTATCAGCATTCGACTTTGACCCACGTGAGGGTGAATGCGCAGGACAGCGAACGAGGACTTGACTTACGCGCGTGTTACTGAACAGACCTTGCCCCAAGCAGACATGGGAGTGGGGACGCGGGCCACGCAGACAGAGGGGCCGAGAGTGATGACGACACCCCAGCCACCAGCCATCCAGCCATCCATCCATCCATCCGTCCGCTCGTTCATCTACATATGTGTATATGTATGTATGCCTACATGAATATGTATCTGTGTATGCATACATACATAGACCATGTATGTATAGGGGCCGCACTGTGTGTGTGTGTTGATCAACTGAAGGCTGCGGCCATGTCGCAACAACTTTCTGTCTGAGAGATGAGTTTTAGCTTAAATTAAGGTTTCCGCTGCTGCTGGTTGCAAGACATGGGCTGTTCGTTCGAGTCTGGGCAAGAAGATGGCTCTGATGCTGACCTGGTGCAACGTGGAAACCCCTAATCTAGGGGCCTCAACAATTAGAATAGGGGCCTTGGCGTGAATCAATCCTGCGGAATATGGTATTTGTTCAGGCCCTCATATCAAGCCCAATCAAGTACACATGCCCGGAGATCGGATCGGCGCAGGCTGCCTCTGCAGTTTTGTGCGTGGCTGCACGTGTCGCAGCGGCCGCCTGGACCTCTAAAGCCGAGCCAGAGTTTAGGGTTTAGATTCGGGTTTAGGGAACTTTTCCTCGTTTCGGCAACTGCTGGCAGTCGAGAGGGCAGCTCGGGCTTGTTCTTGATGTTGGAGGGCTCTGCATGAACTGCATGCTCAAGCATACGTAATATTACCAAGGACTCATCTGTGACAACCAATCACCAGTGACACCAGTACAAGCGTTGTTCGAAGCGGTGCCAGATACCCCAGCAGGCTGCGAGTTGCTATGCTTTGCATCATTCTGCGGGAAGGGCTGCAGACTATACTCGACCCAAACCCCCAAAAAAAGAAACCCACGGCCCTAAAAGGAAAATCCTGGGCCTTGTCCTGTACAGCCCGAAGCTGCTCGGGGATGCCCATGGCTGCAAGCGACCGCAGCGCCCGACGCATTGCGAGCACCGTGCTGTGAGCCCCAATAGACGGTTTAGGGTTTCAGGTTTGTTTCAGCAACCTTTTCCGCCTAGCAGTTAAGGTCAGCAGAAGCCACCGTTGTGGCAGGGTTACAGGTTTTTTTGCCTGCTACAGGTTTTGGGGTTTAGGGTTTCAGGTTCAGGGTTGTTTTGGGGGCTTAAGATCTCATCACTCACTCTTTCCCGCCTCAAGGACGCCCACCCCTTGCGGGTCACCCGTTGTTGGGGTTTTAGGGGCGGTCGGCAAGAGCAGAATACGAGCCGTGTAAGTTTGGCTGGCTTGTACACTGGGGCTCGGGCACGACTTATAGGTTCCCCCCAGACATAAATAAAACAACTAGGTGGCGACCTCTATCTCTCTCTCTCTCTCTCTCTATCTCTGTCTCTCTCTTGACATCCCATCACTCGGTCCAAACTTGGTGGTTCAGCATGTTTGGACTTCAGGATGCTTTGCCTCCGCTTGGCTAGGACGAGAACCGAATTGCATTAGGGCCCTTACCGACAGCTCACCCGTCGTAGCTAATTGAAGACTTGGGGGGCGAGGCAGCAGCAGTGCTCTGGAAGCGACAGGCCAAGTTTCAAAAGATTAGGGTCCAGAGACATCAAGAACATCGAAGCCAGCTGGGAGCCTTGCTGTGCCGCAAGCAGCGCACGGACCATCTCCTTGTAGTCCAGTCGCTGTGTGCTTCCGGAGATGCAGGAGGCACACCCCCGGATCGACTGAAGATTCAAAAACACGCATGATCACAAACACCCTACAACCCAAACGTCACGTCCTCCATTTTTGTGCCTTGCAAGCTGAACCCCCAACCCTATAGACCCACTTCCTCATGTCGCTGGCACCGCATGGCCAAGGACCGGAGCTTCCTTGGCAAAGACTCTGCACCGCTTGAGTCTGCGCGCCGAATCTCTGGCATACCATTTGCAGACAACAAGTCGTCTTGTCTAGCCCTAAAAACTGAGTAGTCTTGCAGATGGCGCTCCTAATGACTCCAAGATAGCAGGCTTTTCGTGCTGCGGGCGGTTTTTACACGCAGCAGCAGGACACCCAAGTAACTCTGCACACACACACACACACACCGAGACATAAACATGTATTATGTATGTGCGCAGGTATGTCAATACCAGTATCTCTAGATACGTATATGTGCACATATACATATGACCATGGCTCGAGGATGCGGTGCATGCTTTGGTTTCCCCTCTCTGGGTCGTGCATGTGGTGTGTGCTTGGGTTCGCCCTTCAAGGGTTTTGAATGTGGTCTTGTTTGTGCGTTGCGGTTGCGGACATGGTGCTCGCGGGGTAGGGCATGTTGCTGAGAAGTACATGCTGCTTTGGTTCTCACTCTGTTCCTGAACCTCGGGGGGGACTGATATGCAGGAGGAATCGGGGATCGATTAGAGCGGGGATGTGTGTGTGTGTGTGTGTGTTGCTCTACAGTATCCTGTACTACAATATAAGACAGCATAATATATTGCAGCACAAGATTATTATAATTTGGGTGCAGTTTGCTACATTCTTCTACATGAGGTCAAGTTGTATATTGCGTCATTAGGTTACACCATAATGTCCTGTAGTGCATTCGAATGAAACGCCCCATTGTATTCTATTGTGTTCTGCTGTACTATATTATACTGTTACGTCATGAATGCCATGTTGTATTTCACACGCCATCACATCACTCAGGCTCGGCAATGCACCTGCATGCACATCATCCCTGCACCTCCCAGTGCAGAAGCCATAGATACTCTCCCACCATAACCATAAAGCAGCATTTCAACATAAAGGCCACGTAGAGCCTCGACTTGCTATATCCGCCCAGCATCCAGTTGTCAGGCTTCGGCTTTTTCTTCCTCGGCTTCGTTTGCGAAGGTAGGGCATACCACGTGCGAAGTAGAGTGGTGGACCAAAACCCTATTTCGGAAAAATGAACCCCCAAGCTTAAAACTGCCCTCAGCAGGACGTCATCCTGCACAGCGGGTGCTTCTTGGCCAAACCCTGTACGAAGCAAGGCAAACAGAACGGTCCTTACTCTCACTGCGATTGTGATGGTATTGTATCGCGCTGGACACTCTGTTACTCTATCTTTGTTCGTGAACCATGGTTTTGCCGGCCTTGTGGTGATGGGGGTGGCTACAGCAGTCGTAGCAGTCGTGGGAGCAGCCGGCTTGGGAGTCATACGAGCAGCATCGCACCCCTGGACATGACGACTGCTACGTTTTACTCTGCTCTCTTGCAGGATTTTGGAGTGAGGAGTGCGACAACCCAAGTATGCATGCACAATGCACAACCACCATATCCATGCTCAAACGACCATAGGCACATGACTGAAATCCACAAGCGCGGTCAAAATGCCCTGTAATTGGACAAGCGTGCGGTTGACCACGTGCTGCGCAATTGAACTAAGAGTACAACATGCATGACTCTGAATGCGGACGTCTACGACAACGAGCCGAGCGTCAGCTTCGGAGGGCGCGCCACATCCAAGCCTTCGGGTGGAGGCCAAAATCTAACCACCTCGGAAATGCTGGACGGGCGACGGACAGGTTTCTTATTCAGATGACACGTTGGGCTCTCGTGGGCAGGGTGCCTCGGGCTTGCCTGGCTTCGTGCTGGCTTGGCTATTCATGACAACTACAACCCGACCACAACCTAACCGGAGGCAGCATCTACAGCAACTCACATAGCATAGTCATAACATCCTTTCAGATCAGGATCCTTTACTAGACACGGGGTTGGTCCCAGATTAGGGTGCAACGGGATAGCGTTGATGTGCCATGCTATATTATGTATGCAGTTACGTTTTCCGGTGTCGGACGGGGGTGGAACTTCAGGAGTGCACGTGTGAATAGGCTGAGAGTCTGGGATGCTGAGAGCATCACCGGCTATGCCATGTGTGCAGCAGTAGATGTGTCTTGCATACTACCCTTCGTTTATGTAGCTCCTGTCGCGCTATGTTTCGTTTTGTTACAGTGCAGCCGGCCTCCTCCCACTCGCCCGACGGCAGCTTCAGAAACCAAGTGTCCACACCGGCAGTTTGGATCATGTGCCGGGCCTTCGTGTCAAAAATGAGACTCTGACTGCCGGGTATGCGGGTGAGGGGTATTAAATCTTGACATACTAACCTATCATACACTATGCTATGCCTAGTACTATGCTACGCTATACGATGTGTCGTAAAAACAGATACATAGACAGTCAGATAGACCGGTAGATGGCTGGATAGATAGACAGATAAATAGACAGATAGGCGGACAAACAAGTAGATAAGTGGTCGACAGATGGATTGATAGGCGGATGCAAAGGCAGCCGAATAGATAGAACGATAGGTAGCCGGATTAGATACATCCGCATATTACATGAGTAAAGGAAATATACGCGCCGTGTCAGGCCGTGCTTTCCTCAACTCTTTGCGGCTCTTATAGTGCGACTGGCCCTAGGACTCCTGCATCTCAGCTAAGCAGGGCGTGGTCTCCACTACCAAGATTCTCGAACCCGGAAGCCCCAGGAGCAAAAAAGAAGCCTGAATAATTAGACGAGAGTCTCCTGGTGCTCTGTACTACAACTACAACAGGGAACCCATCGCAAGTTGTTAAGACCCCCACAAATCTAACAGCTCCGAGCCACTGCAATCGCCGATGCGGAATCTCCACGCGGGCCGGCCGGCTCGGAGGGCGTCGGCTCGCACTGGGGCTCCTGGGGTCGAAGCTTCAGGCATTGGGAATTCATGAACCGGAGAGTAATGCAGAGAACAACACCCCTCTGAAAAATCAGCGGAAGAGGGTTTCTGAAAACAACGACACCGCAAGAACAGATAGAGGTGTTGTCCATAAGTAGTGAGAACAGAGACCGTCGCAGCGGCGGCAGTGGTTGCAGGAGTCGCAGTCGTCACCGGCGTGTTTTAATCAACATCAGGGCAACGACACGAGGCCATCGCGGTTCGAAACGGAGGCTGCACCGAGCTCAGGACAGCCACACGCATGACTGTGACGAGGCGGTCTAACACTCGTCTTACCATATGGGTAGGTGGGGCCTTCGCGCGTGTGCTGCTGCGTACGACATGTTTTCAGGATCAGCCACTGTATTCGCTGCAAAGGTTCCTGACATCTGATCCCACACACGGGCTCCTCCTCTTCCTCGAGGTACGGGTGCTCTTCGAAAGGCTCCTGCTCGCAAAATGCTCGCATGACGTTGTGCGGTTACTACCAATACCGATGCTGCTTAAGAGCCATCATGTCCCAAGTGGTGAAGTGATCCCTGTCACCCCCAGAAGTATGGATGCCCAAACTACACATGACCCAGTGATTATCAATGTCACTGCCACCATCATGCATCAGCATCACAACCATAACAATGACAGCAGCAACATGAGCCAGAAACACGATCGAGACATACTCTGAGTTCAGGGGGCGCCTCGGGTCTGGCTGGCTCAGGCACAGGCTGCTGCTGCGGCCTGCAGTAGAAGGGGTGGACTTCCGTATTCCGCACGCCGCCACTCGCCAGCAATTGGACAGCCGAATATCAACAGCTTGCTGCAGGGTGAGGTTTCGCGACAGTTGTCGATGCGCCTGATCTGCCGCTATCAGTTGGATGTCTAGGGTTTATCCTATGTGATCGTAGACGTAGACGAAGCTGCTGAGACATAAACTAAGAAAACTTGGGGCCTGCATTACATGCTGGCTAGGAAACTATTTGAGATGTATGCTTGCATTTGGCCAAAACGGCTAGGAGTGTGCGACAAGGTATGCAGTGCACAGGCAAGCCCGTCGCTTGCAGCCGAGCAGCGTTTGGCCGGCAGGCTGCATCATCAACTGCTGAGGCTGAGCCATGTGTTGGACTATGCCTATGCCCTGCTGCATCGCATGCTGCTGCAACTGCTGCTGCTGCTGCTGCTGCTGCTGCTGCTGCTGCTGAAGTTGCTGTTGCTGAATCTGATGCTGCTGCATCTGCTGTACGTTTTGTTGCTGCAGTTGCGGCTGTACTATTTGGGGCTGTGCCACCTGCGGTCGGGGCGGAGGTTGTTTAGGCGGTGGCGTTTGTTGCTGCTGTGCCTGTGCTGGCTGCTGCGGCACAGCTTGCTGCGGCTGCTGCGGCGGCGGCTGCGCCACCTGCAGCGAAACACAGCTGCCGACCACGGGCGAAAGCAACAACATTTCACTTCCGAAGCTCAAAACCTTCACCCCGGCCAAAAGAGATGCGAAACTAGTACAAGTCATCAACGGCAAACATGCATAGTGCTCTTTCGTCAGCCTGCACTGCTTGCGGAGAGGCTTCAGGAGCCTCGGGAATTCGGTGCAAATCGAAATCCTCCATCCCCGGCCAGGGAAGGGGGTTTTACAGGGTCGAAAAACCGACACCTCAATCGTCTGAGGCTATGCTGACGCTGCTCTCGAATCTCGAACCATCTCAAATAAGAAGAAAACTTCAGAGATCTTGACTTTCTTGGCGAGGGGCTTTTTTGCGGGTGGCAAAGAGGCTAGTAACAAGGGCCTTGTCCATTCGGTTGCAGGGAACCACCCTTGCATATGTGATGTATGCTGAGATGGCACTCCCGACCACACCCCCCACGGTATGGTCCGGGCTGGGAGCGCGGGGAGGGTTAGACGGGGACTCCTTGTGCAGGCTGTGCAGGTAGACATTTTTTGACCTAGCTAGGAATGGATAGATACATAGGTAGATAGATAGATAGATAGATAGATAGATAGATAGATATGTATCTAATACCCATTGTGTGTCGAACGTGAAGCAAAAAAATACATAAGAAATTGCAATACGACTAGACACAAACAAACAGATACATGTGCATTTCAAGATGCAGCCGTGGGGCCATGTGTTTTTACTCCCCCTTCTGCATAACATGCAGAAGGGGGACTACATGGGAGTACTATGTATCTGAATGGTGCTGTACGTACATTCATACATACGAGTACAGTCACAGGGATGAGGGGTTTGTAGCCGGAATCCTCGTGACATTTGAGACTCGACCTAAACCCAGCCCTACACAGGAATCTGCGGCACCTGCTGCGGCACCTGCGCGGCTTGCTGTGCGGCCGCAGGTTGTGTGCCCGCACCTTGCGGAAGCTTCCGGATCCCTGACCCGAAATCGCAGAATTTGAAGTGTGCTTGGCTTCACGGATCCTCCGACCCCTGACGAACTTGAACTTGGTAAACAAGTGGGACCTCATCGTGCGTCTGTACCGGTGCGCCCGTACCGTACAGTAACGTACCAGCGTCCATTAAAAAGTTGCTGGTTCTTGAGCGTGGAGTGCGACAGCACAGGTCTTGCGAAAAGGAGTACTGTTGACCAACATTCCGTGCTCTGAACCTCCCTATAACCCTAAAGATTGAAAGTGGATTGTCCGTTAAGGCGGCAAGTTGCCTGCCATGCCAGCGATGCCTTGCATGGCCATTGACGCCATCTGGGGCATCACACCTTAGGGAAAGCTCATGTGCAATTTGTCTTTTGCGTTAGTCTGGTCATACTTAGTATACTTGGTGTCCTACTTGTATCGTTGCCCCTAGCCAGTCCCATGGTGGTTGTTGGTCGCATCAGTTGCATTTTGCAGCACGTATGGGGAGATCCAGGAATCGAGCGACGTCCGGACCTGCCTGCAGTCGGAATAAACCGTAACAAACAAACAAGGATTACAAACAAACAAATATGTATATGTATATATATATATATACACATATGTACGGCATTGCTTATATGCTGGCTCGTCTACTTAGGTCTCCGTCCACACTGAAACCCTATGACCCAACAACCTGCAGCGGTGTCGTGGAGGAAGCTCAGGGCCGGGCCCGGCATGGTTGGAACCATTCCTAGCAGCTGTTCGACAGAAGCCCGGTTTGTGATTTAGGGATTTAGGATATAGGGGAGCACCCAGTTAAGTGTCCCCTCTTCGAGTTCGCAACAAGCCAGCTCTCGGCAGTCGGATAAAGCTGTGATTGGAATTGCTCCATGTTGCTTCCCAAGCCGAGATGGTGAAAGATCAGCACAATTTGCTGCCCGCAGCGATGCTGTTTTCTACAGGCTCGACAGTTGACACGAAACCTTTCTGGCGGCGCCTCCTCTAAAACGCGGACGGCAGTGAGTATGGACGAAGTGCCAGCCACCCTCTCCAGCCGCCTAGCCGGACTCGACCCCCCTCTCTCTGAGCTGGCCTCCAAGGCCCATGCCAAGGCCACAGAGTCCACCCAGGAGGCCTCCAAGCGATTGACAAAGGCAAGTCCCTTAGCGAGCTTGCATTTTTGAGGTTTGACGTTGCTGCCTCCGTTTGAACACCGTAGCCCGGTCACACCACATGCTCGCCCCACGAACCGCGGTAAAGCCGAACAGCCCTACCATGTAAACCACAAAAAAGCCATGGCCCCCACCCTCATGACACTGCAGTTCTCAAAGCATGCGCCTTGCTGCGGCAGCATACCCATCTGAGCCAACATCATGGCCTCGTGGGCGACCAGAGGTGTTCCGAGACTGAATTTTTTACTTTCTTTCAATTCCAGCAACCCAGATTTATCTCTGGAGAGTCCCCTGCCGAACTCCTGACGGCTACAGTACTAAAGCTGAGAACTTCCAGCCTGCATGGGATCCATGCTCATCCCGAGACCTGCACGATGCTTCCTCATGTATTATTCCTACTGTCATTCTTATCGTGCGCAACCATCTGCCGCATGGCTTCGGAGTTCTACGTTCGGCGTAGTTTAACCGTGTCTCGTGTGTTGCATCATCATACTGCAACGTAGTATACAGGTGCACATTCACTGTGTCATTCCCTTCGACACTCCGTTGCAAGGCTCTCGTGACTGAACATTTCTGCATATTTTCATGCTTCAGTCACAGTCGTACGGAATTGCAACAGCTGTCCATGTTACGGCTGACCGAGGTTTCACATTCTTTACTCGTGTATTCGGTCGCGTTCTCATGACACTGCAGAAAACATTGCTCTTGTTCCGAGCCGATCTGCGACGGTTGACAATTATATCGCAGCATTGCGTCAGTACTGTAGCCTTGCCTTGCGCTATCGTCGTGTTCGTCCACGTTCTATTTGTTGCTGTGAGCATCTGATGTTGCATCGTGACACCAGTAATTTTGCCTCCTGAGAATTTCGTTATGTGTCCTTTAGGATTCAGGAGGGGCTTGCTGGGTCAGCTTGCAGAGTTACGTTGGCCTCTGGGTCACCTTCGGCTTTTTGCCTTGTAAATCACAGGCACGTGTTCTTTGCTGCTAGTTCGCAGTGAATGTCTTACGTGAAGCCGCTATCTACTTGGGAATAAAGCGGCTGCCAGATGCTGCCTGCGAGTTGGGCAGCTGCAGTGGCGGCTGCTGGATTGACAGAACCTGCGCAAACAGCTTCAGGGACCCTACCTCGTGTCCATGGGTCTCGGGCGGTGCTTCGCGGTACGGTTGGTTGCCAAGCAAGGTGAACGAAGATGCAGCACGAACAGTATGCCCGCGATAGTGCAGACCACTTTCCCTTGCAAGGGAACATCCCACCGATTTTACAGCAAGGAGGCGCGCACCTTGGCTGGTGGCCGCTGCTGCGGTGACCTGCCGTGTAAGAGGCTGAGACACCTTTCTGAGTCACATCCGCCAGTGGGAATCGCAGATGTCGGGTTGGGGGTTGGGCGATGCTGCGATTCAGGGGGTTGCTTTCGGGCTCAAGGCTTTGTGCCCGTTCAGAAACAAGTCTCAGATAGACCGGAAGCCAAGATTCAGCACGTGTCATCCGAGTCATGCAGGAAGGCCAGATGTAAGTAATTAACTCATGCTAGCTGGTTGTGGCTTCGTGTCTTGATGTTTTCTGCAACCATTTGAAGCTTTAAGGGACGGTCCAAGAACCACTTTTGTCGTTCTGTCCATTGTCCTCCGTACAAGGCGCCCTCTATATAACCCCGAAGCTGCGAAGATCTACAACGGAACCATTGCCAGATTCGATGTGATAAGTACCACCACCTTCCGAAATCATGGATGAGGTATGGTGAGGTAAGTAACGTCGCTTGCGAAACTGGTCTTGCAAACCTTTGGAAAATTACGATGCGAAGACCAAAACAATCCGCTTGAGCATTGGTCAACGGTGATTCGGACACCATTTTACAATGCCCATTCTCTGAACCCTCAACCCATACGTCTACGCAACTCGAAACCCTAAAGCCTAAATGTCCTTAATTACACCCCCCAACTCTCCACCGTGTCCCCCATCCCCTGATGCGGGCGATGTGAGAATTAGAATAGGGTTCGAGAGGATATTTCAGTATAGTTATATACCTCCCAGGGACGACCTCTATACTCAACATTGATAAATTCGAAAGCCCTACATCCCAATTAAGCCCCTATCCCCTCCTCCTTCCTTCTTCCACAGGGTCAAGGGAGCGGGTCAGGCTCCCCGGCCGCAGGGGCCCCCCGGTGTTTGTTGGGCTCGCGGAGCGGGTGTGAAAACAGTGCAGACCGGCTATCTCCCACTATCCCCTCCCTCTCTCTCCCTTTCGGGCTAGGGGCAAGGGGATTGCTCTCTCCCTCTCTCCCTCTCGCCCTCTCTGTCTCTGCCCCAGGCATTCGAAAACCCTATCCCCTAAACCCCTATAAGCCCCACTAAGAGCGACCTCCGACGACCGAGGATCTGCTTCCGCCTGGGCCTGCGCCTTTGGCCGGAAGCGGAGGCATGGGAACAAGACCGGCAAGAGGTGTGCGGCAATAAAAATTGTAGCCAGTTGTAGCACATGGTTGAATATGATAGTATATATTCTAGTGTCTGATACTGTAAACTGGGATACTATATTATATGATACAGCCAAATGAGGATACATAACACGCTGCAAGAGTCATGATGATAGACGCCGTTGTGCTTACCTTTAAATACAGCCTGCTCTTGGCCATGTGCTACGTCTTGACGAGTCACTAGTCTAGATACAGAACCTGAATGACAGAGCGATTCCAACTAATCTCGGGGGCTGCAGGCTCGGCCGCTGCCGCCGTCGCCGGCTGCTGCATCGGCTGCGCTGGCTGTTGCTGTGGTTGCTGGGCCTCTGCGGACGCAGGTGGCTGCACCGCGCCGCCCTCTGGCCTGGTGCCGGTGGCCGTTGCAACGTAGTCAGGCATGTCCATGAATGCTATTCAGACTGGGCGACAAGGTTGAACAGCCTCTATGGAGACACTTTGACAAACAGATGGGACAAAGCAGCTGTGGTCTGTTGTCAAAGCAACTAGCTTACTCCCTCGATCGCCGTGCGCCTGCCAGCCCCACCTGGAAGCGAGTTCAGCAGCGCCTGTCGTACAAGCAAGGTGGCGCGGAGCTCTATGATCCTAAGGCTCGCTCTCCCTCTTCATCGGGTTCGTGAGCAGCTGCATGCTCATTCTCAAGCTTGATCTCTGCAAAACCTACGAACCGTTTTTCAAACCCTTCTGTAATTTTTGAACCCTTGAAAAACCCTAAACCCTAAACCCTGATACCCTTAAAACCCTAAACCCCAAACCCTGATACCCTAAACCCTAAA